GACTGTGACAGGAGATTGGGGTGCCGGATCTGGGAGCGGATATGGGTACAGGAGGGGGGTAGAGGATTTGGGTGTTATGAAGTGGGGGGCAGAGGGCTGGGGAAGGGAGGGTCTCGGCGCAAGAGGGGGGCAGAGGGTTTGGGTATGTCAAGTGGGGAAGGGAGGCTCCGTCCAGGAGACTTACCAGCCAGCAGCTATTCCTGAATCTGCCTCCGTGCCTGCCCTGTCCCCGCACTGTCTGCAGCCTTGTGTTCTGTAGCCCTTTGTGCTTTGTGGCTGAAGTGGGGGGCAGAGGGCTGGGGAAGGGAGGGTCTCGGCGCAAGAGGGGGGCAGAGGGTTTGGGTATGTCAAGTGGGGAAGGGAGGCTCCGTCCAGGAGACTTACCAGCCAGCAGCTATTCCTGAATCTGCCTCCGTGCCTGCCCTGTCCCCGCACTGTCTGCAGCCTTGTGTTCTGTAGCCCTTTGTGCTTTGTGGCTGTTTTATTTTGCAAAAGGCAGCTCCCACTGGCCAGTTTCTGGCCAGAAACCAGCCGATGAAATTGTTCTGGGGGCAGGAGCAGCTCCTAAATTTTCCCTCCTCCCCTCCAGACTCTCAGTTTTTAAAGAAGAACCTACCCCACAGCCACGTTTCCGAGCAGCGTGCGGGTGGGATGAGGCAAGTGGGAAGCCTGCCTGGGACTCCCTGCAGTGTCCACGGGCTAGATCCAGTGGCTTGGTGGGGTGGATGCAGCCCGCAGGCTGTATTTTGCCCAGGCCTGGCCTACAGTGTAGCTAGTCTGCTTACGTGATCGGAGCACAGAAAGACAACCAGTAATTTGTGACTTCTCTCAGGTTCTGTCACTGTCTGTGATGTGAGAAAAGTCATTTCCTCGCTCTGTGACTCAGTTTCCCATTCAGTAAAATGTGACTAATAATATCTAGCTCACAAGAGGCTGGCAGCCTCAGTGAAAGATTGAAGAAGTTATGAAATGCAAAACGCTTAATACTTCATAACACTTTTTTATTATTGTCATCAGTCACAAGCAGGTATCGTACTCTGAAAGAACCATTCAACAGAAACTATGTAGGCACCTACATCCCTGACACCAGGCAAAGGGTTCCTGGACACAGAGAGGCGCCTCACCTGCAGCCCAGACTTAGGCACCTGTATCCGCTGGAGGGGTGGAGATGGGCATAACTCTTCTGTCCGCATCAGCTCCTAGAATGCTGCCTCTTCGTGGCTCTCCGTCTGAGACGCCTGCTCCTCCCGAATCATTGTAACGGGAACCTGGGTGCCTAGCTCAGGCTCTGTGGATCAGAGTGAGATGCCGTAAAAATCACAAATGCACCGTAGCAAATGCATGGAGCGTGGCAATGCCTAAGGCCTTCAGTGCATCCATGCCAGCTTTTAATTTTGAAAAGGACACGGGGTCCAAAGTGGACTCGTGTTGCCCAGGAGTGGTTTTGTCGGCTTATCACACCCCTGGTTTTCAGCCGTCAACTTCAAAGCATTTTGCATGGGTGGGTCGACATGCTTTTCCCACAGCACACAAGGGGAAACAGACTCAGAGACCGTAACTTGCCGAAGGTCACAAAGGAAGGTGGCTGGTTAGCTAGATGTAGAATCCAAAGCTCCTGACTTCCAGCCTCCTACCCTGGCTGCTGAGCCATGCTGCTTCCCCAGCTCACTGCCTGGCTGGAGCTACGACCAACTGATGAGCCTGATTCACAGCTCGTTTCCCCTGTGCGCTCCCTGACGGGCACCCGCTCTAGGCTCCCTGCTTCTCCGCCGTCACTTCCTTGGCTGGTGACATGTCCCGTTCCCTCCTTTTTTCCAGGGCTGTTTTCCAGGCTGCAGAGTTCCTTGCCCAGCAAGCCAGGTGCCTAAGCAGGCCAGTGTCTGGCCCTTGTTTTCCCTCCAGGGCTCTGAAGAGCTGCAACGGCCAGCAGCGACAGTCATCACACAGCTCCTTCTAAGCCAGCACCTCTGTTCTTCAGGTGGAAGCAACACAGAGAAAACATTACAAACAAGAAAAGAACCTGCCCACCCTTGTGCACTTACCAGAGGTCACCCTGTCTCCAGCCAGGGCTCTGGTAGGAGTCGGCCCTTCGAATCTCAAAGGGGGATTTCTGTGGTGACGAGTTCAGGACAGCCTTGGCTCAGGACTAGCAGGCCCACCAACAGGCCAAACCTCTTAGCACAAGACCGACCGTACTGGGTTGGACCAAGTGTCCATCTCGCCCAATTTCTTGGCCTGTCTGGCTATTATCGGCATTTTGTTCCCCAATCCGCAGACATTGCAGCCCCCCTTGCCTCGCTCCGGAAGAAGGACAGCCCCTGACAAATCAGCAGCACTGCTGAGTGTGAAGAGGCCTTTGGCACCCTGAAGAGGATTCTGTCGCAGGACCCAGTGCTTTTTAGTCTGGATTTTGATAAGGGATTTGTGCTACAGACGGAAACCTCCAGAGTACGGTTGGGGGTGTTCCTCTCACAAGAGGGGGAGGGAGACGAACTCCTTGCCTTGTATTTGAGTAGGAAGCTGTTCCCGTGGGAGTGCAAATACTCCACGATTGAAAAGGAAGCCCTCACCATCAAAGGGGCCATTGAGGCTCCGTTATTATTTATTAGGTGCTCCCTTTGTCCTTGCGACGGACCATGCCCCTCTGCAGTGGCTACAGCGGATGAAAGACACCAATGCCTGATCACGCTGGTACTTAACACTGCAGCTATACGCCTTCTCGGTCTGACACCAACCCAGTAAGGAACATCTAAATGCTGACTTTTTCTCCCACCCAGGGGAAGAGCCAGAATCCAGCCCCGGAGTCCCAAGACTGGGTTTGCAGGAGGGGGAGCACAGTGAATCAGCGTGGCTACCCAACCCCACCCACAGGTGGCAGGAGGGCGGGGCCAGAAGTATAAAAGGAGGACCTCCCCCCTCAGTAGAAGCCCGGCTGTTAAGCAGGCCAGACGCTCGGCCCAAGATCCCTAGGAGGAAGGCCCCACACCGCTGCCCTCGGCAGAAGGACTGGTGTGGGCTGCCATGACCACTGCTGTCCAGGACCCTTGTCAAGCCCTGAAGAATGGACTGGACTCTTGCCTGCCCTGGACCCAGAGCCCATGGACACGCTGTCAGCCCCTTTGCCCTGCAGCCCCCCCTGCGGAGCTGAGTTGGAGCCAGGTAGGACCCCAGGAGGAATCAGGAAGCAGCCCAGGGGCAGCCAGCATGAGTCCGGCAGAGGAGACAGAGGTCAGCTGGGCGGCACGTTGTGGCCAGGATCCCCGCTGACCTGTGACCTGGTTGGTGTGTTGCCGCCAGGATCCCCGCCAAGCAGCCCGCACTGCCACTGTTAGGGCTCTGGGCTGGGACGCAGTGGAGCGGCTGGGCCTGCGTCCCCCCTGCCACCCCTCCCCCTTGGGGGCAGGACCCCCCAGTCGGGAGAAAACCCCCTCGCCTGTCGGCCCTCTGCCTGCAGGAAGACCTGACCCCTGCTTGGCCTGCAGACAGGCCTGAGTGTTGAACTGCTTAACTGTTTGTCTGCTGCTCCGCCCGGACCCAGGGCCTGGGCTCATAAACTGCTACTGGGCCTGTAGTCAGGCCCGAGATCCGGACTTCTGCTCCTGGAAGAGAGTCAGCCTGGCCTCCCGCTGACTGGAACCATTACCCCAAACTGGGTTGGACCAAGGGTCCATCTAGCCCAGTATCCTGACTTCTGGCAATGGCCAGTGCTAGGTGCCCCAAAGGGAATGAACAGAACGGGTCATCAGCAAGTGATCCATTCCCAGCTTCTGACACAGACTAGGGGCTCCATTCCTACCTGGCCTGGCTTAATAGCCATTGGTGGACCTATCTTCCATGAATCTATCTTGCTCTTTTTTGAACCCTGTTAAAGTCCTGGCCTGCACCCCATCCTCTGGCAAGGAGTTCCACAGACTGACTGTGTGTTGTGTGTGAGGAAAAACTTCCTTTGTCTTAAACCTTCTACCTTTTAATTTCATTTGGTGACCCCCCGTCGTTCTTCTGTTATCTCCTTCATATAAAATTGGCCTTTAATCTTGAGACTCGGGGGTGATCAGCAGACAATCGTCCTCTCCTCAGGGTATAGCTTCAAAAGACTGAGTTTGGGGCATCACTGGAAGTAGGGAATTTACTTTCACATCCCCCTGAAGAGACGCCAGCCAAACCACTTGATACTATGTCCCAAAAGCCCCTTGTTCTCAGGCACAGTATGCAGTACAGTCGGGAAGTTCTACTTCCCAGGCTTGATATCACATCTCCCTGTGTAGAGAGAAAATACAGTCCCAGCCCACAGTACTGTGTAGCCTTTGGGTTTAATACACTGGATTCCAAAGATACTCACACTTCATTCAGTGAGGCTTTTTGGGGAGAAGGCACGAAATTGCCATCTGTTAAAATCAGTGGTAGGTGACTTGTGGCCCATTGGAATTCTACGTGTGGCCCGTGAGACATTTTGGTTCCTGCTGCGCACACACAGGGTTGCCCGATTCTGCTGGGTTTTGTCCACATTGGTTTTTTCTTACTGGCATTACTGGAGTGACCACACGTACAGCAAGGGCACGTGAAGTGAGGTGCAGGCCGATCGCACACAACTCTGATTGTAATTGCCGAGTGCTCCCTCTGCCGCCAGTTAAAGAGGGGCTGCTTTGCGGGAGGTTCAGTCAGCGCACCCCTCAAATTCCAGGTGCCCAAGCACAGACCACAGCACTGCCCTAGCCCAAGAGAACATCTCGGTTAGCACAATCTTGTGGCTCGCTGAGCGGAAGGAGGGCCACTCATGCAGCCACTCACGAGCCTAGGTTGCCCATCGCTCTGTTACATCCTGCTGTATGGAACATCTCCTACTTCAGCCATTCTGTTTTGGAGACGCGGGAAGTGCTACATGTGCACAGACGCCCCGGCAGGGTGACCTGTACTGATGGAAACACTGATCGTGGGGCGCCTGGGTTCCAGACTTTGCATCTGCCTAGACTGAGCACTAAAAACTCTTCTGTTTCCTTAAGGTGAAGCTTCAGGTGGAAGAAAAAGAAGGGAAGAAATTTGAGGTCTTTAATGCTGTGGAATTTAAAACACAGCTGGTTGCTGGAATAAACTACTTCATCAAGGTACAGGGCAGTGGGGAACAGGGTCTCAATTTGAATCTTATATGCATAGTAATTAGTTAATTACAAAGAGCTGCCTGTGATTTGGCCCTTAGAATGAGTGCCGCAGGGTAAAAAGGGCTAAAAAGTATTAACTGTGTAAGCAATTACAGTTCCACCGCTTACGTGGTTAAACGGGCTCTGCGGGCTGCCAGTCCTGTGGGCTCCCAGCACCACCTACCTCACCGGCTACTGGCAGCTCCAATCCTGCAAGAGTTTAACCATTCACCGAAACCGATAAACATCAGTATATCAGACACCCAGTTAAACTGCTACATCCATATCCCAGAGGGACTGGGCCCTTTAAGAGGGAGTGGGGTGCGGCACACCTGTTACTCATCAGCCCTCCCTCGGTTGGGCTTAAAAGAGGGCCCTGTGCGGGGTGGGGGTGGGGGCATATTGGCAAGTGAGAACTGTTTGAGACCAGGAGAGAGCGAGAGACCTGGAGAGTCTAAGGGGATACGGAGAGGGACAGGAAGCAGCAAGGAAGATCTGACAGGAGCTGCTTGGCAGAGAGCCGAGTTTAGAAGGAGACCAGTAGGTGTGAGCTGCTGGAGAGGAGCTGGGAACCCCCCAGACAAGCAGAAGTCTCAGGCAGCGTCCCCTTGTCCAAGGGGAAGAGCTAGCTCAGTCTGGGGAAGCTGAGCCTGGAAGTTGAGGGTTTTGCTGGAGGGTGGATTCACCTGAGCAGGGTGGGGTAGGACGGGCAGGCGGGTGGGCCTGGGGGAGTGGAATGCTGGAAGAGAGGGAGCCCTGGGGAGAAGACCTGAGCCAAGGGCTTTGGGAAGCCTCACGTATAGAGGCCCTTGGATTAGGGCAAAAGGAGCTGGGAACAAAGCGTTCCCAGGTGGGGACTCGCTGGGAGTGCCCCAGAAGAGGGCGATGGGAAAACCCAATGTACGTTTGTCTGTTGTGACCCCAAACGAGCCACTCTTCCCTAGCGTGGCACCGTGCAACCGCCATGTGATTAGAAGGCATTGTAGGGTTTGCAGTCCCAGCTTAGATTAGACTAGAGCATTTCCCTCCATTAATAAATGAACCCCACCCTGGGCAGGTAAACCAGTAGGATGATCCTCATATTACAGGTGGGAAACAACCTTTCTGTGCTTGAGTGACCTGCCCCAGGGCCACACAGTCGGTATGTGAAAGAGTCAGGAAGTGAGCTCACCTGTGCCCCAGTAAGAAGATGGCCCCTCCTCAGTGCCCCTTCCCCTATCCCCAAGCGCGCTTGTGCTAGAATGCCCTGTCCCTGGAAGGCTTTTTCCCCATGGCATTTCCTGTCCCTTTCTTCTTACCTTTCAGGTCCATGTTGGCAATGAGGAGTTCTTGCACTTGCGGGTGTTCAAAAGCCTTCCTCACGAGAACAAACCACTGAGCCTCGCCAGCTATCAGAGCAGCAAGACGACGCATGATGAGCTGGCTTACTTCTAGGGGGCTCTTTGAAAGAGCCCCTCTCATGCTTATAGGATGCAAAGTGTTTTTATACCGATGAAAATGTACTTAAAAATCTTGTCTGACAAATTTTCTACAGCTTTCTTCCTTCCTCGCCATCCCTAACTCTCCTCTCATACTCGTGTAAAACAGATGTAGTTCCATTGAAATCAGTAGAGTTATGCTGGTGTAAATTCCATATAAGTGACTGGAGAAGTGAGCGAAAGAGGAAGGGAGTGTAACCAGTACAGCTGTGACGTGGGGCAGAATATGAATTAGAATTTCTCCTAACCCTATGACAGAAACGGGATGTTCCTCAGTAAATCACATTTGTTCTCTGCATATTGTTGTTAGAGAGCTAAGGATGGAGGTTTACAACACCAGAGCAAACTTGAAAAAGTAAAAAGAAATAGGATCACAGTAATTTGAAATAGAAACTCTTCCTAGGCGATCTCTTCCTGGGACCAGGCTGGCGGCTCCCGGGAGCCTTCCCGGGTCCGCAAGAGGCGGGCGCCCACCTGGTCTAGTGGGGAGATCGTGGACCTTATCCATGACCAATGCACTAGGCACAGGAAAGTGGCCGTCTAGGGCAGGATAGCTGCCAGCCTGGCCA